CCAAGGCAGGTGTATTGCCTGAGCTTATGGGTTTGAGACCAGCCTGAGCAAGAGCGAGACCCCATCTCTAAAATATAGCCAGGCATTGTGGTGGGCACCTATAGTCCTAGGTACTTGGGAGGCTGAGGCAAGAGAATCACTTGAGTCTAAGAGTTTGAGGTTGCTGTGAGCTATAATGCTACAGTACTTTACTGAGGGTGACAAAGTGAGACTCTGTCTCAAAAAAAAAAAAAAAAGTTACTTATTAAAACAAAAAGAAGAAAGAATTTCTAGCCAAGTTCCAGATTCTCAGTAGCCACGTGTACCAAGTGGCTGCGTCAAGTGGGTGAGTATACAGGCTGGTGCAGGGGTAGGGCAGCCTGGTCCTCACGGAGCCCCCTGCGGGCAGCACTGCCCTCCTTACCTCGCAGTGTGTCAATATGTGATAAATGCCATTTTAAACCAGTGATGTACCTGCTGTCTGGCTCTTTTATAGTATAGTGATACTGAACATTATTTTGCCAAGGTATGAAATATGTTAAATCTTATTCCCCCCCACCCTGAAGACAAATTATTCAGGCAGTTAAATTCTCTCTGATGATCAGTAATGGAAATGTCTGAGGTCAAGGAGAAGTTCCATCAGAGTCAGAATGACTTTGCCAGAGTGTCTGTCTTATTAAAACACTGTCTTCAGGCCTTAAGCCCATTATTTAAAATACACAAAAGAAAATGATAACTGTAAAGATTATGCTGGTTTCTCAAAAAGCCAAAGCAAATAGTACATATTCTTTTTAAACTTGGGCTTTACTAGATGTGTTGTGAATATTGTTAACGCTTTCAGCAATTTTTTGGACTAAGGAAAGAATATAAAAGAGCAGAACCGACTGAGGTTATATTAATGAGGTAAAGTGCAAAGGAAAAATAGACAGAATTATAATACTAAGGAGTGGTAGGAACCCAAGGGCACAAGCAGTTCACACTTGCAAAGTGCCCTGAACTCATTGCACTTTCAACCCTCTTGAACTCAGGGGATTGGGGGGGGGGGTGGTACTTCTGACTGAAATTAATATATTTTACTTGTGAAATTATTACATTGGTAGACTAACCCTCCTGGCACATGATAAAATAATTATAGCAGTTTGTTGATGGTTTGGGGGGTTATAGAGAACTTAATTGTCAGCAAACTCTCCAGGATTGTTTGATAAAGCCAGCTTTATAAACTTTAACAGTTCAGCTTACTATAGATCAGGCCCTACTCAGTGGGTTGTCTCTTTCCTCTAATTAATTTTTCCAAATGTTATTTTTCTAAAAAATAATTTCACAAGCTATGGTATAGAAGGAAGGCTTCTGTGGGCAGATAAAGTTTGGGCTGTGCTATGCCGCTTACTTCCCTTCTCAGCGAGTCACACAGTTCCATGAAGTACCGTGGTCAGCGGACTTGGGTGTCTTGGCTTCACTTAGCTCTGGTTAAATGGTTTGGCCAGAAAACTCCCAATTTTGGCTTTACACCTGTTAACAACTCACAAACCTCTGTAGTGTTCTGTAAAAGGCACTTAAAAGTATACTTGATTAGTCTATAAATAGAACTACTGAAATTAACAAATCACCTAAAACACTCCTTGGATTTATATGAAAAAAAGTCCTTATTTTTCAGGTGTCAAAGGACTTAGTGGTGAAGTAACATGATGTCTGTAACTTGTAAGGGCTTCAGCCAAAAGCATATATATGTGTAGTATGTACATGTGTGTACACAGAGACACACAAAGGCACACACGGAGGGTACGCCCCAATGCGGCAGATGTTCATGGTGATGAATTACAGTGATGGGGAAGATTTGTGCAATTTTTAAAATAGTTGCCTAGATCTTAAAACTTAGATAAAAGAAGAAAAATCTCAAAAACTCGAAGGTAAGCTTCTTTGAGTATGTTGCACAATGAAGACTGCCAACAAGGATTGGTTAGGAGAGAAAAAGGATTTTATGATCCAAAATGAAGTGAAAGAGGGAGATTTCATATTATTGACTAGGGATAGCTATTTATGTGAAGAAGTTTTAGGTCATCCTTAAATTTGTCTTTTCTTTTTCTCATTTCTTTTTTCTTTCTCTTTCTTTCTTTCTTTCTTTTTTTTTTTTTTTTTGAGACAGAGTCTCACTATGTTGTCCTCAGTAGAGTACTTGACATCACAGCTCATAGCAAACTCAAACTTTTGGGTTTAAGCGATTCTCTTGCTTCAGCCTCCCAAGTAGCTGGAACTACAGGCAACTACATCAATGCCCATATTTTTTTGTTGCAGTTGTTTAGCTGGCCCAGGCTGGCTTCAAACCCGCCGCCCTCAGTGTATGTGGCTGGCACTATAACCATTGTGCTACGGGCGCTGAGCCTGCTTGACATTTCTTAAGGAGTTATGAGTCCATCATATTCAAGAGTTTTTCCCTTAGACCCTTCAGTCAGGCCAATAGGAACAGTGCCCAGAAGACTGTCAGGGCAGTTATATTATTTCTTCTTATTCCTGTCCAGGCCACAGCATGACACAGAGAAGCTTGCCAACTTTTAATTGTGTTATGTAGCCAAATAAGTAGAAAGCCTTTCTGAAAGGGGCTCACAAGATTTACCTGAAGCCCCAGCTGCTTGACCAAGTGGAGCCAACAGCTTGAAATGTGCTACAGCCAGGACTGGCCTGACCTTGATCTTCCTTAGACTGGCTATTAATCCCCAACTTGCAGCTGGCTCGGGGAAGCAATGTGTAATAGATTGCATGTCATCTCATATGCTTCTAGGGCACAGACATTGGCATGCAGTATTTTCAGAATAACTTCTCAAGGACTAAAGTGAAGGTTGTACCATTCAAAGGTAGAAGGGTTTCCCGGTCTTCAAATTCTGCCTTGATATATCATTAGCTGAAACAATATTGCAAACATCCCTATTGCCCTAAGGGAGAGAGAGGAGTCATTTAGTTTCCTGCTGTTTCAGAGATGCTTCTTCTAATATTGCAAAATTGTCGCTAATATGCTCTTTCAACAATGCCAGTGTCTTTGTAACCCTGACTCCCCTTGGAAAGCTTTTGCTTTTCTTTTTTTCCTTCCTTTTTATTGTTTAACCTTTACAGTAGGTTATAAAAATTGTGAAATTGAATTTGTTCATGTTGCTGATAAAGGTTTTAACAGTAAAGGTGCCCACCTCCTGCACTAAGCGCTTCTTAGTACACATTGCAATTGTGACAGTTCTTGTGATCTTTTGATAGTCTGTCAGTTACTATGTTTCAGATATTTGTATAACATTAATCCATGCTTCCTTGTTGTGTTTATATTTTACTTAAACCTAAAGAATATATGCTATGTGATTAGTATGTTTGCTACACATAATGCGATCTGCGTACACTTGAGTATCTTGTATATTCAGGAGTTAAGGCTACAAAGAGATGCCAGTAAGTAATAGTTTTACATCACTATAAACATATATTTATATTTTGTCTCTTCTTTCACTCTGGGGCTAATATTTAGAGATTAACAATTATAATATATATTGCAAATAAAGGATAAAACTTGACATCTTTATTATGCTTCACATCTTACCAACTATTGTGACCTATAAAATTAGCAAGGTGGCCAAACAAATGATGATCCACTAAGTTTACAAAGGCTCTTTTGGCAAATTACTGAAACATAAGGAGCTGCATAAGATGTTAGATCTCCCATTTTCTCATTCTTCTTTGTGCTAACAGACCATGTGCATTTGACAGGCTGAAGTTTTCATTCATAATAATAAAAAATACTTAATACTGTGTATCCTTGAAAATAAGACCGTCCCAAAAAATAAGCCCTAGCAGAATTTCTATGCATTTTTTAAATATAAGCCCTACCCTGATAATAAGACCTAGTGATGGGCATGGCTATACAGCATATCTGCATGGCGTAGTCACGCCATGCATTTCGGTGCAGAGAAGAAGCTATCCCCTGAAAAAAAGCCCTAGTGTGTCTTCTTGAGAAAAAATAAATATAAGACAGTGTCTTATTTTTGGTGAAACACAGTACTCATTGCTAGAAGCATCTGATGATAATAGTAAAGTTTTAAGCAAACTTTTCTGCCATGACCTGTTCTATTACCCTTACTTAGAAAGGTAAAGATTAAAACAAAGAACTATTTAGTAATGTTAGAAACTTAGAAATTCAGAAAGGTGGTTATATTACTGCTAAGAGCTTCTGAATAAAGTTAGTTCTTTGCAGACATGGAAATGTGAGATCATTCAAAAATACTCCTCTAATTTACTGAGTAGCAAACACCAGCCCTGTGTGGTGACATTTGAGTCATTTGAGTAATCTGAGATCTTGAATTACTGAATTGATATTTTTGTTCATTTTTTTCCTCTGGAAAATGTATTATTTGAATGATATTTGTCTCAAGAGACTATCAATGAAATTCAAAGCTCCACTTGTGCACATGGCTGCTGGGCCTGTTACACTCCTCTGGGATAGGGGTCTTGTCTCATTCTGCGTGTGAACGTGTGTTGGAAAGTCATCCCTGGAAACCCAGCGAACTGTGATTGTATTGTTCACATCATGAGGAATGGGCTGGTTTATCTCTGTGGATAAGATTTTAAAAGGAAAAATGTTTGAGTCTTGAAAACTGTGTATGGAGCATGAAATAGAATTCAGGAGCAGTGGTCTCTAAATTTCCAATAGCCTCTAAATTTCTTGTCCTCTTTTAAAAGTTCAGCAGCAGAGAGTGTGTTTGATTTCACTGCTACAAACACACTTGGCCGGTGCACTTGGCAGCAGTTTGCTTACTTTGCTGAGTAAGTTGCAGGGCTGTTGGCATGGAAAAGAAAAAAGTTCACTCTTTTGAGCATAAAACTAGATTTTCTAAATTCAATTGTTGCATTCTCATTAGAATACTTATTCCATTAATGTTTCAAAATGTCTGAAGAGTTAGTTTAAAAATTTGCCTCTAAGAAGTTTGTAAAGAGAGTTTCTTGCCTGCATTTGGACTCCGTATTAATTGGCTACTTCTGCTTGCCCCCTGCAGGCAGACCAGTCTACAACAGCTTTTATGTTTACTGCAAAGGCCCCTGCCATAGAGTACAGCCAGGAAAACTCAGGGTCCAGTGCAACACCTGCAAACAAGCAACGCTCACCTTGGCCCAGGTAAGGGAACGCAGCGTCAGCATGAGACTGCCGAGAAACACCCAGGGTGGGCTCGCGGAGGGGCCGATGGAGCTCCTAATCATATATTACCCATTGCTGGGAATGGAAGGCTTCTTCTCTGCGGGGATGGCTCATGATACTGAAGTTTCATTTGAAAACTGCACCTTCGTCTTTGGATTTCTTTCTCCTTTGTAAAAATTTAGGTAGTGCAGCGTCATTCCCTCATTTTTTAAAAACAGGCCTACTGAAGGGAAGTATAGTGACTGCTTTGATAACAACAATAAAAAAAGAAAAACAAAAGAAAAGTCAGGCTTTTGTGGAGGATATTTTAGAAGGAGCCTTCCAGGCCCCTGGAAGCATCCTGTGCCTTGATCTGTGTGACGGCAGCATGGATGGTTACGTATTCAGACATCAGCATTCATTGGCTTGTCATTTAAGATTGGTGTGCTTACAGTTGCTTAACATAAGTGACCCCTCAATTTTATTGATTGATTGAATTAAATTTATTATTTTACAAAATTATTGTGGGTACATAATAATTGTATATCTTGATAGGTGTTTTGGTACAGGCATGAAGTCTGAGCTGATCAAACCTCAGTAACTGAGGTGCCCATTACCGCTGGCTGTTAAAGTGGGGATGGTTAATGGGGATGGTTAGATCATTAGAATGAACACTATTTGATAGCACAAGTGTAACTATAATCACCAGTAAGTTGGGGTAAACTTTAAACTATCTCTCAGTTTAAAAAAGTGAAAAAGAGGTTTGTGGATTAGCAGACAGTATGCCTGCAAAGCCAAGGTCAGCCCTGAGTCTGCTGTGGTCTGAGTCTGCTGTGATCTGAGTCTGCTGTGATCTGCTGCTGATTCTTATACAGTCATCCAACTAAGAGTGGTCTTTACATTTTTAAATGGACGAGAAAACCAAAAGATGAATAATATTGCATAACCTGTGAACATGGTGTGAAATGTGGACTCCGTGTCCATAAGTGACGTGTTGCTGGAACCCGCCCCACCCTCTTCTGTACATGTTGCCTGTGGCTGCTTTCAGGCTGTGAAGGCAGAGGCCAGCGGCTGCACGGACTGGATGGTTCACAAAGCCTGAAGTATTTACTCTCTGGTCCTTTGGAGGGACAGTCTGCTAACTCCTGGCATAAAGCATAGAAACAGTCAGTTCCTGGCCCCAGTGTGCTGGCTGTGCAGGATTTGGCTGGATGTCTGTGGATGTGGCCATGGATGGGGTGTGGAGAGCATCAGGTTGGCACAGATGTGAGGGCACAGACAAGGAGACCTAGGGACAGAGCCCTGGGGGTGGGTCAAGGGCTCCGTATGATCATTCCAGAGGTGGCTGGAGCATTCAGAGTCTGCCTGCAGGCAAGGGAGGACTAATGCAGAGTCATACAGGGGACGTATAAAATGCTGTTTCAGAACCAGGAGTCCTGTCCAGTTTTGCCATTAGTATTGGAGCTGGTGATAGAGCGAAGGTGAAAAGGCTAGTCAGAAATCGTTCACATGCTGAACTCCACATAGGTGAGGAGCAGAGAGGGCCTGGGTGCGGGTGGCAGCCCTGCAGAATGGAACATCGTGAAAGATCTCGGAGGGTGCCTCTAATGAAGGAGCAAACAGGGGTCTGTTGGCTCAGCCTGAGACAGTGGCAGCATTACTAAGAGCTGTGATTCAATATTTATTTTTTTTATACATTATTTTTTAAAATTTCAAATTAAGAGGGTACAAATTTTAGGTTACATTGTTCTTACTTCCAAGGTGAAGTTCAAGTTGTAGGTGAGCCCTGCATCACCCAGGGGTATGCAGAACACTCTCACAGTATGCACACTGGGTGGGATCCCACCAGTCATCCTCCCTCCTCCCGCCTTGGCTCTTCCTTCTCTCCCCTCCCCCTTGCAAGACTAGATTTGTCTTTTATCATTCGTGTGGGTGTGTAATTGTTTATATATTAGTTTCATATTAGTATTGAGTACATTGGATTTTTTTTTCCATTCTTAAGATACTTTACTAAGAAGAATGTGTTTCAACTCCATCCACACAAACACAAAAGATGTAAAATCTCCATCTTTTTTAAGGCTAAATAGTACTCCATGGTATACATATGCCACAGTTTATTAATCCATTCATGTGTTGATTGGCACTTGGGTTGCTTCCATGACTTGGCAATTATGATTTGGGCTTCAATAAACATTCAGGTACAAATATTTTTGTGGTAAAATTATTTTTGTTCTTCTGGGTAGATACCTAGTAATGGAATTGTAGGATCAAATAGAAGGTTGACTTTTAGTTCTTTAGGAATTCTCTATACTTATTTCCATAGATGTTGTATTGGTTTGCAATCCCCCCAGCAGTGTAGAAGTGTTCCCTTCTCTCCACATCCACGCCAGCATCTGCAGATTTGGGACTCTGTGATGTGGGCTAATCTTACTGGAATGAGGTGGTATCTCAGAGTGGTTTTGATTTACATTTCTCAGATTCAACATTTCACTGTGACACAACATTTCATCTGTATAGGGAAAGCCAGACAGTTCATCCTAACCAGTTTGGGTGGATGCTTTGAGGGGGGGGCACCAATGGGCAGGGCAGAGATTTTGCCTGGTGAGCTTTGCCCAGTCTCCACCCGCTCCTCTCTTCTGCCTTTTCCCACACCCGGTGCAGCCTCTTCTATCCTGATCTGTACTCAGGTTCCGGCTGCTTAGGTGATGGATCTGACCTATTTATACCAACTTCCTATGTCCTCAGTAGAAACAGCAGTAACACATTATTATTGAATTCCAAGTAAATTCTTTTCAGACATTACCTCATTTAATTATTTCATAACAATCTGAGTTGAGCAGTATTGGTAGCCCTATATTGGATTTGAGAAAAATGTGGCTTAATGAGATTAGGCATTTGCCTAAGAACACAGAAACTTATGAACGTGGACTTAGGGTTTGAACCTAGACTTCTAGCCTAAACTTTTATGCTCTACAGTTTTTTACCCTTTTCACTACACACATATATGTACAATAAGGGTCACATATGCAGATGTCCACAGTGATCAAACAGGTGATAAAATATTAGGTCAGATGGAGGCAGTAAGGGCCGGGGAGAACTGGGGTTGAAGGGGGAGGCTAAGCCAGGTATAGAAGTAGCTTCAGCCAGTGGTTGCCAAGTGGTAAGTGGAGACTTATTGTGGCTGGAACTTTTTTGTTTTTTGATTAAGAGAAATCATAAATCTGGAATTTTATATGAAATTTCTCACTTAAAAATGTGTACTTTGGAGGAAAATATGGGGGGAGGGGAGAAAAACGACATGCAGCATCTGTCTAAATGCACCAGATCAAAGTGGAGTGTTACTGGGACTGAATAGGAAATTAATGTCAGGTGTTTGGCAGAATTTGGTGTGTGACTCTGGAGCTGGTCTGCCCCTTTAGAATCTGACTTCCCCGTTTCCTACCTAAGTCAACTTGGGGATATCTGTTCACTGGTATAATAGTATATGTTTTTTAGTTGTTGTGAAGATTGGTTCATGCACGAAGAGTACTTAGATCAGTAATTCCAACATCAATACTTAGAAATGTTAAATGCTTTATTATGGTTATTCCTTTTATTATTATTTGTATATATGTGTGTGTGTGAGAATTAATTAATTATAATATACATACATGTTGTCTGTACTTCAGCATGAAATCAGTCCAGGCTTTGGCTGATTCCTTCCAGAGAAGCCAAAGTCCCCCTGCCTCCACTCTGGCCATTAAGAGGCTCCGTTGTCCCCATGTCAACATAGTGCTCTGTGATGAGGTCCCACCTCCCTGGTCACCCAGGCTGGCACCTTCTCGGGATGACATGGTTGATCCATCCAGGGGTCCCGGCTCCACTCATGTGACACCTGGGATTCTGTCATCTCCCAGAACTGCTCCAACTTGGATATTTAAATTCCAACTTTTCATTCCCCCTGTACCATTTCTGCTCCTCATAGCACTGACCATGATCTTCAGTTTTTCTGAGGCTATCTGGCTTCTCCTGTCACTGTTTTCTACCCTGGAGACCCAAGCTCCAGCCACAGTGTCTCAGTCGGCACTGCCTCTGCTTCACATCCCACAAATGCCCGTTCTCTTGTCTAAGAGTCTGTAAGCCTGGGAAGGTCCGATAACTCGTCAGTTTGGGTGTCCAGCTTATTTTTAACACCTCATACAGAACCTAGCCCAAAGAAGGACACCAATCCAATAATGTTGATTGGATGCCTCTGGATTGGAATCTTCCTAGGTTGAGTCCATAATCCCACAGCCTTTAGAAATTCTATCTGGCATTTTATAATTATATTGAGCATAGCAATTAGCACATTTTTGTTATAATTTATTGATTTTTTCGTACATTTATTTTCTTCTATTTGTATTTTTCTCTAATTTTCATGATAGACCTGCAAAGTAGATATTGTTATTCTGTGTTTTTAACAAAGAGTTTCCATGAGGTTAAGTAATGAGTCCAAAATTACTCAGTTAATAGATATTGAAGCCAAGAGTAAAAAATCTTCTCTCTATTTTTCCAAAGCCCTGGCCATTTCCAGAATATAGTGCTTACTGTACAAATCTGGCAATCAATGTCCTGGTATCTAACTACTTCCCTTGTCCTTAAAATATCACTCAAAAATACTCTTGGAAAAAATACACTTGAGACCTTAGGGACCAATGAAGTAAACGATAATTAAAAGATAATTTATTTAATCCATAATTTAGTACAGTTATTAGACGTAGCATAACTAGTACACAGCAGATGAGACGATGAGGCATTTCAATTTTTTTTATTAATAGCAAAAATCTGCATGCTTAGAGCCATGATGTCTCTATGGAGTGGCTGGCTGGCCCCTGCTGGAGCCTGCAAGTCCTGGCTGGGCAACCCTAGGCAGGGGCTCAATTTTGCCAAAGGGAACAATTTCTGTGCAGAGAACAGGTAACCCTGGAGTTTCATTTCCTAGAGATTTGTAAAACAATTAATAACTTACATAATTTTCTCTG